ACCCGATACCTATTTCCCACTTCCTACACCCAAAAGGAACAAAACAAAGGTTTGGTTAGGGTGCATCAAAAGGAAAACACAGTCCCTGAGTTAGGCAAGGAGAACTGAGGTGGTAACATAACTTCTGGAGCCCGGAGGGTGCAACCTCACAGTCCCGCACTCACTCACTCATTCACCCACCACACAGGTGGGTCAAAGGGAAGCCCAAGGCCTTTCCCCAGGCCAAGGGCAGCACTGGATGGCTCCACCTGTTCTGAACAGCCTGTGGCACAGGCTTTGTATCAAGCCCCTGTGGCCACTCCAGCCTTCTCATTTCCAGCAACAGAGGCCAAAGTTCCTCTGTGAGTTTATCATAGTATCTTTATGAAAAAATGAAGCATTTTACAATGAGTATATAATCCCAGGTTTTAACTACAAAATAAAATAAATTTTAAATTGATATGTGGTAAAGAAAAATCTCTTAGCAAGATGAAAATACCTCCCAAAAATATATACAGTCTATTAATAACCTCTGCAATTATTAAAAGGGCAGGCACAATTGCACATGCCTATAGCCTAGCTACTCTGGAGGCTGAGGAAAGAGGACCACTGACCCCAGAAATCTGAGGCTGTAGTGTGCTGCAATAGTGCCTGTGAATAGCTCCTGCACAGTAGGATGGCCCTAGTCAGGGATCTCCCTGGAGACCTCCCCAGTCTCCATGGCTGCAGCGGCTCGCTCCGCTCTTCAGCCTCTCCCCTCCTCTGGCCTCTTCCCCTTCCCCCTGATGGAGCCTCCCTCTCTAATTGCCGCACCTCTTTTCTTCCATTCACAGCCAAATGAAAGATGGGGTGGGAAGACCAGGAGTGCCCTTCCAACTGCAATGGGCTCCTCAACTGGGGAGGGCCCGTCTACCACTCTGGCCTTCGGTAAAACCCACTTGCCAGATCTCAGAGTCAGCTCCGCCCCTGACCCCAGCCAAGTCCCCAGATGCTCTCTCAGGGACCCTCCTGGCGGCTCCAAACCCTTTACTCCTCGCCCTGCACTGCTGCTCCAAGGCTACGTGTCCTCCGCTCTCAGTCCACCTCCCTCCCAGGCACACTCACTTTCCCCTAAGCATGACCACTGTTAATGGGCTGAGAATTTCCAAATGGGAATCTCCTGGACAGACCCTCACCACACTGCCTAAACTGCCTGTGAGCCACAGGCACCTCCACGGGAGCCGACCAAATGGCCTTGCCACAACTGTCCCGGTGAGTCCTGGTTCCCACAAAGGCTCCCACAAAGCCTCTTTCCCACCTCCCCCAATCACATTTTCACAACTCCTTAACCAATTTTTCTGACACAAGTTCGCCCTCACCATGAAAGCTACTTCATCAAATCAAACCTGGACCTCAGGTTTTCAAACAGTAGGCTAAAGACTCCATTTCTTGCCTCTCAAACTGGGAAATCATAGAAAAACAAGAAGGAGAATGAAAAACAGAAACGTAAACTCTGTCTACAGTGAAACCCGGAGTCCTCTATGACCCACAAGCACGATAGCTGAAAAGAGACAGCAGGGGTGGGAAGATGGGAAACAAGAAAATGCTCGAGGCAGCTTATCCAGACAAGCCCCAGTAGCAGCGGTGCAGGCTGACTGCGCACCAGAGGGGCAGCACCCAAGTCCCCAGGTGGAACGTGAGAGAACGGTGGGCATAGGTGCATCGCACATACCATGCGCTGGGAGTAAAGCAGGGACACAGGGCCACTGGGACCTCCCCAGGATGCAGAGTCCAGGACAGAGGTGCTGCCCACATACCATGTGGTGGGAGTAAAGCAGGGACACAGGGCCACTGAGACCTCCCCAGGAAGCAGAGTCCAGG